TGGAAGACTACACAAGTATTTGGAAGTTTTCAGTTGGGAGCAGAAAGAATTCTTAGTATTAGAGCCAGGGAGAAAAAAGAATACCTTCAGAGGGCTAAAATGAAGTGATGTTTTAGATAGTAACATCCAGACTTCAGTAAGGTGATGAGGAGGCATTCTGTGAAGAGGTTGAAGGTATAGGGGTATTTTAATAAAAGGGAGCAAGGAGGATTCAGTGGAACTAGCTGGGAAAGAGAGCGGTCATTAATTATATATACACATATTTATATTTATATATAACATAATCTCAAGTAGAGAAACATAATTTTATACATTCCATTATGCCAATTCATAAAATATATGTATGCATATATACAAGGATTTGAAGATAAAAAATAAAAATAGTTGTGTTAAGTTGGTACAACTGTGTATGGTCTCCCCCTCAGTAAGTATTTGTTATATTATTCTTTTTTCCTTCAAAAGAGGTAAATGGATCATCTACTTCTTTCACTTCTTAAAAACTAAACTTTATTCTGAAGTCCAGCTATTTTTTCTTCTATGAAACTTTTCATCAAGTAGTTGTGGCTTAGTATTTGTCTTTCTAATGGTTTCTTTTTTATTCTAAGATTCTGTTTATTTCTCCTCTCCACTTTAAAATTTACTTTTTTCTCATATTGCATTTCAGCCTGTTCATTCAATCTTCTAACCTTCTTTCCCTAAGGATTATCACCTGTAGGAGAAACACTAATGGATTTAAAAATGATCTCAAGAATTCAGGAATCTCTATCTAGATCTAAACAGGAAGATACAAGTTTGAAGTTCAGTAGAAGGCACTTGTTTTGAATACAGATGAAGATGCTTATTAAAACCATTAGGATGGCAATCCTATGTGTTTGCGAAATTTCTCCTCCTGCAAATATTTAAAGGGAGGGCATCTGAAATCCTCTTTATAAAGTGTACCAATTTGGGTGTGGAAAGAGAAAGAAGATCATGCAGGATGATCTCCTTATCTACAAGGCTACATTTTTAAATAACAGCCAGGAACACAAGTCATGACAATGGAACAAAATGTATAAAAATAGAATTTCACAGGAAACCCATGACATCTGGTAGGCATTCTCACTATTGCATAGCTCTGTGACTTAATTTAAAGAACCTTTAATAATTCAGAAAATAGACTAAAATATTACTTTGATAAATGCTGGCTCTGGACTGCTTTTTTTTCTCAGCTATATAATAGCATTAAAAATGTTCCAAGTAGATTGGTTATAGAGTTCTCGGACATACTGTAGTAAAATATGCTTTAAATATAATGAAATTGGATTACATTTATTTTTAAAGCTGTAAAGTTAACAACGATTGATTTGGTTGGTATTTTTTTTTCAATAAATTAATACTAACTACACAAACTATATTACATGTTCCTCATAAGAAAATGCTAAATATAATTTTCACAAAGCAGCAGTATTTGGGAAATACACAATGCAGAACTACTGGTGGATGAAAATGCTGACATTATATATAAACTTCTTTACAATATTGATGCATGTGCAGCGTCGCTTGTACTGATACCAGTTTACAATAATATACTTGCACTTTTTCAACAGATTTTAAGCATTCTCTGACTTTGGGGCTTTATTATTCAATGAGAAAGCCTCACACCAACATCATGAGGTAGATAGATTCATGTTCCATTTGATGGCTGGAAGACAGTTGGGAGAAAAGGTATATTTTTCTTTTTTAATTGTGATATGATTGCATTTGCTTCATTACTTATTAATCATAGTTAAAACTTTAAGGCAAGGGAAATAGTGAACCTGCTAAAGAATGCTCATTGTAAGCATTTACAAAAGCAGCTTTATCAAACATTTTTTAGTTTCTGCACTTGAATGGGCTTCTTTAGATTTTTTTTATTATAAATTGGATTTTCTAATAAAACATTAAAAAAAGCAAAGAAAAAAACACTTGGTATTTTAATAAGGTTTGAAATCTTTTGCTGCTCCTCATTTAAAAATGTTATGGATTTTTTATTTGTATCATATCAAGGCCTTAAATTACTTCATAATTATAATGCTTAATGTAGAGGGTGAGGAAAGGATGGGATAAGGTATAAATTTGGAAGATAAGCTTTCCAGTGGGTTATTATGACCTGCCAGTTTAGCTTAGCAGCATTGCCTACACTAAAATAATCCTTCATTTCCTCAGGTATAGTTTTAGGTGGTGGTGGTGGTGTCTTAATCATAAAATTGGTTTAGTCCAACAATATACTTTGCTGAATATCGTGTGAATTTAGCTTTCCTCACCTTTTTTTTTTCAAGGCTTGGCAATAGTAATTGAATTTCAGTGACTTCTTGGATGGCAATGTTCCTGGCTACCGAACCTGCATAACTCAGTTTAGAGTAGAGGAGGGAAGACTGAACTGTGTTCTGTTCCTAAACTTACTGTAACCCACTGTATAACATTGGAGAAATTTTCTTGGCCTTGATTTCACATCAGTCAAAAAAGGACGTTTATGTAGATAATCTCTTGGGTGCCTCTCAGCTCTAACAGCTATGATTCTAACATTAATTTCAATAATTTGTAACAAGTTTTTCATTTCCATGACTGCATGAAGGAATGCCTCCCTTACACTCCCTCTTTGTCAAATAAATACATTAACAAAAAAAAAAAATAAGTTTATTCAGTAGAAAGGGTAGATTCCTGTTATATTTGTATTGCTCTGCTGTAGTAGAATCATGAAGAATTCACTGAGAGATGGTTAAATATTGGCAAAAATTTTGGTCTGGTCTTGTCCTAGCATTACAAACTAACTCATTTGTTCTCATGGCACACACAATTCCATTAAGATTCCACAGGGATTATGTGCTGTGGAATTTACTGTCAGCCTAATGAATTTGATCTGTCTTTTAAAACAGAGTCATACAAGCTGTAGGGTTTTTTTTAATGAAAAGATGTGAATATTTCTATAGCATTCACCACACAAGAGGCAAAGCCTGGTTTTGTTCTTTTGTTTTGTTTTAACCACAAATACATTTGCAAAATTCACAAAACAGTACAAATCCCTACACTGTAAAACACACACACATACCAAACTTCTTTATAATCTTAATCCATTTTTAGCATCACCTGTGCTGATATCAGTTTACAATAATATAGTACTTTGCTTTTTTTTTTTGGAGCAGGTTTTAAACATTCTTTGACTTTTCAACTTTATTATTCATCGAGAGAGCCTCAGAACAATGCCATGAGGTAGATAGCTAAATATCCCATTTGGCAGATGTAAAACATGAGGTAAAAAATATTGCATGATTTCTACAACATCATTCAGACACCAAACTAGAAATACGACATGTAAATCCCATTTACATAATCCACATTTCCATTTCTTAGATTTACTTATGGCCTTTTGTATTTATTCTTCTCACTTGTGTTAAAATATCATTGAATTGAACTGAATTTTTAGAAATATTTAAATCATTATACATAATTTCACAGATACCTATAAACAAACAGTTATCACAGTCTTATGAAAAATAAATAACATTACACAAAAGGACATATCCATTGTTACAGAACTTATGCAGGGGAAAGAGATTTTTTTTAGACAGATTTGCTTCCCTGTTTCTACCAAAAGTGGAGCTTAGAATTGATATTAAAAAAGTCCATCATCAATCAAGCCCATCTTGAATATGCTAAATATTCTGCAGAAAGCTTTGAGTGTTTCTTTGCTACATTAAGACAGTAGGAGTTTAAGTTAATGAAGTGTAAGAATATAAGCTTTTACTCTGCTTTATCTGGTGATATTTATTACTAGTCATAAACTCAGAAATTTGACATTTCCTTTTTAAAAGAGAAGTGTGCATGGACATCCTTTTTGTGCTATTGATATTTTATTGAAATATAAATAAAAATAGGAGATAGTTTTTACTTATATTTATGTTGTTTACATATATTACATATAAATACACATACATGTAAATTCAAAAAACTTTTGATCATTAAAGAGAAGGACAGCCCAGATTTTCCTCTGATACATCAGAGCAACAAATTTAGGTCTCACACTGAGGTCTGAAGATGCATACAGGAGCATCTCTGTAGTCACAACCATGGCCAAAGATGATCATGGCATCCTATGACTACTTGTGTATAAGCAGATATAGTTCAAAATATATTAATGATATAGAAAAGTGATTTTTAAAATCTAGTAGTTCACCTAACTTTTTTACAATGTAATTCAAACTATTTTGAAATCAATCACATGGCTTTAAGGAAGTAAGGGACAGTTTTAAATATACTAAATTTTATTGAGTCCATAGAACATTAATAATTAATAGCAGCTAATCCATATTGAAAGCCTACTGTGTGCAGACACTATTGCAAGTGCTTTACTTGTATTAGTGCATTTAATCCTCATAAAAACCATATGAGGTAGCACCACTTTTATTCCCATTGTAGAGATGGAAAAGCTGGGGCCGGCCTGTGGCTCACTGGGGAGAGTGCAGTGCTGATAACACCAAGGCCAGGGTTCGGATCCCATATAGGGATGGCCGTTTGCTCACATGGTGCTGAGAACACCAAGTCAAGGGTTAAGATCCCCTTACCGGTCATCTTTTAGAAAAAAAAAAAAAAAAGAGATGGAAAAGCTAATGAACTGAGATGTTAAGTAACTTGCACAAGGACACATAGCTCATATGTGACAGAGACAAGGTTCATGCTTGGGCAGCCTAGTTCAAAGTCTGTGCTCTCCACCACTTATGTCTACCTCTAGGATTTTGGCTGCATAAGCCTCAAAGCCATTCGCTTATTTGACAAAATGGAATTCATTTATCTTAAAGTTTATCAAGGCATTCATTTCCATATAGCAAATATTTATTTAGTACTTAATATATGCCAGGCACTATCCTAAAACTTAGTCTTTATCCTGTTACTAATCATTTGAAACCAATTCTGCTACACTTTGTCCTCTTCTTTTTATCCTCCTTGTACTCATGGAAAAATGCTCCTCAAAAGTCTGTTTTTCCTCCTTTCTGGGTTGACTCCAATTCGAAGCACGAATGTCAAAACGCTGTTATAGAATAAATCAGAAATGCTTCTTAACAATACAACATGCTACCTGAAGCTAGTGTGAGTGTTTAACAGAGTTAATAGCAAGTTCATATACATTTCGACACTTTTACATGTCAACTCTTATGGTTAATGATAATGCTCCATATCGCTAGATATAAACCCAGGTTAATTTTCAAGTTATAATCCCATGCTTCTCCACTCTAGCCATTGAATGTCCAGTCATCAGTTCTAGAATGCTGAAGTCCTGAATTCTCAGGGGAGACTGCTGTTTGATTTTTTTCTAGAATTCCAGGTGCTTCGGGTATTATATGAAGTAAGATTTTGGCAGCACTGGCGGCTTTTCATATCCTGTGGAAGATGATGCTCCCCATCTTCCACTGGGGGAAACCACTTATAAATATTCATCTTATTAGGAAGTATCACAAATCTTTCCCTTGTGAGTAAACAGTCAGTGCCATCTGTCATTTACTGTGTCTTCTTCCCTCATGGAAGAGAGAGAGTTTGGTCATACAAACACAAAGGCCACCTTGTGATATTAGATTGGGTTGGAAGGGTTTCTTGACGTCTAGCAAAAGCACTGATCCAAACCACATGAATAGAAATAATATACAATATTGAGTAGTTTCAGCTCCATTTGCCACATATATAATACATGGACAATTCACTCTAGATACCAGTCCTTGAGGCAATCCAGTCGCGATACTTAGCCACTCTCGTGTAGACCCCGGGTTTTTTGGGAAGAGCGCATGATTGTCCCCAACTTACTATTCCAACAATATACCAGATGTCATGATTATCATACACCAGAGGTCCACCAGAATCACCCTGGGGGTAAGGAAAAAAACCAATATGTATTTAAAATTGTTAATTTAATTCAATAGGAAGGTCATTACAATAAACTCTTTGCCACATAAAAAAAGAAAATGGTACACAGACCACACAGCCAGACTGTAAAAAGATTATACATTGTTTGTCTCAATTGAGTTAAATATTTGAGCTAAACTTTAAAGTGTATTATGTTTTAGAAAGGCTAACCCTCATTCATATAGAATGGTTACATTATTTCTGGTTCAGCATCCTTGGATATTCTTTCTAGTTTGATTAGATACTTTATTCATAGTTTACTAACCGTGTATATAAAATGTTAAATATGAGATTGGTATTTGTGGGCATAGGTGGAAAATTTTAGTGATCTCTTTTGAATGTTGTTAGCTTGACTGTATTTTATGTGCCTAGATTTGGTCTCCTTTTCTTTTCTTGCCTATTCTAATTTATGTTTTCTTGCTGAATTTTATATTCCCTTAATCCCCTTTAGAACAAGGAAGATTAAATAAGTAAACATACCTACATGTAGAGGTTAAAAGTGTAGTATCAGTATTTGCAAACTACACATCTGATAAGAGGTTAATATTAAAAAAAAAAATACAAGGAGTTCAAACAACTCAATAGCAAGAAAACAAATAACCCTATTTTTAAAAAATGGGCAAAAGACCTGAATAGACATCTCTCAAAGACATACAAATGGCCAACAGCTATATGAAAAAATGCTCACATCACAAATTATCAGGGAAATGCATATCAAAATCACAATGAGCTATCCCCTCACACCTGCTAGAATGGCTATTATCAAAAAGATGAGAGTTAACAAGTGTTGGTGAGAATGTGGAGAAAGGGAACACTTGCACACTGTTAGTGGGAATATAAAATAGTGAAGCCATTATGAGAAACAGTATGAAAGTTCCTCAATATATTGAAAATAGAGCTACTATATGATCCAGCAATCCCACTACTGGGTATATACCCAAAGGAAATAAAATCAGTATGTCAAATAGACATCTGCACTCCCATGTTTACTGCAGCACTACTCACAATAGCCAAGACACAGAATCAACCTAGGTGTCCATTAATAGAAAATGGAAAAGGAAAATGTGGTATATATGTATATGTGTGTATATGTGTGCATTGTGTATGTGTGTGTGTGTGTGTGTGTACACACACACACACACACACACACATACATACAAATGCAATACCATTCATCCCTAAAAGAACAAAATCCTGTCACTTGCAACAACATATATGAGCCTGAAGGACATCATGTCCAGTGAAATAAGCCAGTTACAGAAAGACAAATACTACACGATCTCACTCACATGTGGATTCTAAAAAAGCTGATCTCATAGAAGAACAGACTACAGTCATGGTTACCAGAGGTCTGAGTGGTTAGGTGGGAGGAGGGATGGGTCAAACATATTGTCAAATTAAAATAATATCAGTTAGATAGGAGAAAAAAATCCAGAATAGGCAAACATATAGAGATAAAGTATATAAGTGACTGCCTGGGGCTAGGGGGTAGAAGGGAGAAGACAGTTGGGGGATGCAGATGCAGAAATTGGGAGTGATTGTTAATGGTTATGGAGTGTCTTTCTTGGGTCATGAAAATGCTGCAAAATTGATTGTAGTGATGGTTGCCCAACTCTGTGAACATACTAAAATCCATTGGGTTGTACACTTTAAATAGGCAAATTGTATGATATGTGAATTATGTCTCAATAAAGCTGCTTTAAAAAAGTTAAAGGAATTTTCCAGAACATCTATATCTTGCCTGAATATCATGCCCTTCTGTTTGACTTTTATTTTCATCTTATCTTTATTGCTGTGAAACCAACTCTTCAGAAATGACCCACAGAACTACTTTTAATAAAATTACTTTCAACTTGCTCAAGAAATTTGGCAGCACTTTAGTCTTCTGAATTTCTAAATGAATCATTTTTGTAAGTAACCAAAAAAAAAAAAAAAGTGTGGTCTCAGTAGTTGAATTACCTGAGATTCAGGCCTAGGTCGATTAATTATTGGCTGTGTGACCTTGGGTAAGATACTTAACTTCCCATTGCCTCTTCCTCCTCACTCATTTACTTTTTTAATCAAATAATTATTGAGTTCCTACTGTGTGTCCCAGACATTTTGATGGGCATTGGGATATAATGATGACCAAAAAGGAAAGGTCTTTAAGGTCCTTATGCTCACAGAGCTTAAAGCTTAGGTTAAAAAACAATTAAGTAAGCCCACAAATCAAAACAAAACGGTGATAAGTGTTGTGGAAGCATGCAGTAGGAGAATTTGACCGGTCAGTGAGGTCAGGAAACCTTTCCTCAACACAGTGTAATTCAGATGATATCTGAAGAAAGAGGAGTTAACCATGAAAAGGCAAGTGGGGATGAAATGTGTTCTAAGCAGAGGAAATAGTACTGCAAATGCTCTGTGGCACGAAGGAGCCCGGCATGGGCAAGAACCAAAAAAAAAAAAAAGGACTGGAAAGAAGAAACCAAAGGGTCAAGTGGTATGTGATGAGGCTGGAGAGGTGGGGTGAGACTAGTCCATGCAGAGCCTTGTGGGTCATGTTTAAAAGTTTTTTTTTTTTAATGTTAAAACCAAAGGTAAGCCACTAAAGTGTTTTAAGGGTTTGATATGATCAGATTAGTATCTTGTTAGAAATCATTCTGGCTTTCATTTTACTAATATAGTAAAGGTGCATAAGAGTAAAAATGAGGAAATTAGTGAGATGGCTAATGTAATTGTCTGGTGGGTGGAGGGAAGGAAAGAAGGAGGGAAAACAGGAGAGAGAAAGAGAGGGAGAGGAAAGAAGGTAATGAAGAAATGGTTATGGAGAAGAAGGTAAAATCCATAGGATTAGATGGTCAATTGAATACGGGATAGGGAGAGAAAGTTAGAATGGCTTCTAGCCTTTTGCCTTGTTTAACAGAATGAAGGGGAATGCCATTCACTCAGATACAAAATATAGAAAGGGGATCAGGTTGGGTAGGTAGGGAAACAAGAGCAAAATCAGGTGCAGAATTTTGAATTTGAAATGCTTTGAAATATCCAAGTGGAGTTGTCAAGTGGCAATTGGATATATGAGCCTGGAGAGCAAAGGAGAGGTTGGGGCTAAAAGTATAAATTTATGAATCATCTGCAAAGAGAAGCTATGGAAGAGAATTAGATTCTCTAGGGAGAAAGCCCAGAGTGAAAAGAGAAACAGGCATAGGACAGATCAATATTTAATGCCTGAGATTAAGAGAATGAGCCTGAAGAATAGATAGAGAAAGATCAGACAGAGAGATGTAGGCTGAAAATCATTACAATCCAAAGGAAGACAATATTTAAAGAAATTATTAAGTATTATTAAATGTTGCTAAGAGGTCAAAAAGAATAGGACCAAAATATTTGTTGGATTTTAAAAACATGAATGTAATTGTTGGATCATTGGAAACCTTGGAAGGAGCTATTTTGGTGAATAGGGCAGAACCATATTAAAATGGTTTAAGGAATTAGCAGAAGGTAAGAAAATTGAGATAATGTGCAGAGACTTTTTTCCAAATATTTGATAGTAAAGTGATAAGATGGGGTGTTGCTAGAGGCATCAAGGTAAAGAAAGAGGTTGTTTTCCCCATAATTCGAGACATCTGAATAGGGAAGGAACAGTTGCAAGATAACTATAAAAATAGGAAAATTATTGCTAGTGCAAACTTGCCCCCAAACCAATGAGAACAGGAACCTGAACAGAGGAGGAGGGATTAGTCTTGGAGGAGAGGCAGCTTCTCTGTTGAGACCTGAACTGAAGGTGGCAGAAGTGAGTCCAGATGAAGGCAAGGGTGCTGGAAAGATGGGAAAATTCCCCTCTTCTGGCATCTAGTTTTCTTTGGAAATTGGGAAACAGAGGCATAAACTGGGATCAGGAATAGAAAAAACCAGTAGTTAAGGAAAGTGTTGGGAAATTTCAGAGAATGGTAGAGATTTGGGGGAAAAAAAAAACAAAAAAACAAGCAAACAAAAAACCCCAGAATTGTCAGCTTTGTTATCCAGAACTTCTAGTAGAACTGACATGTTCTGTTAGGATATTTTCTCCAGGAGCACTTAATTGCCTGGGTGCAGGCAGAGAGACACAGAGAGAGTTCTTCCAGGTTTGGGACTTTGTCAGACAAAAACACTGGAAAGAGAGTAACAAGTGAACTTGGGATATCAATAAGTGTTTAAAAAATGATGGACTGGAGTGACATCAGCAAGATGGCAGAACAGGAATTCTCTGGATCTATTCCCCCTCACAGAAATCCAACAAGCAAGTATCCACAAACAAGAATACCCTCATGAATATCCCAGGACCCAGGAATGAGGTTGAGACACTCCTTAGGACAGCTGAACTGAGAACAGCCATAGAAAAAGGGTAAGAGGAGCAGTTTAACTTTGACCACGTCACCCCTCACCCAAGCCAGCATAGTGCCAAACACAAAGTATTCTGCTGAGATCCAAGGTTTTACGGAGGAAGGAGAGAGTTGAAGGTGGACATTTAGCTTCCCCACATTTCTAGGATGCTTTGCAGGAGGCCCTCTCTTATATCACCCCACAGGACACATTGGAGGGTATCAGCAGGGCTAGACCACCTGGGGGAAGGTAATAACAAAGAACTGTGGTGTGGCTCACAGTGACCAGAAGAAGAATCTTGGCAATGGGTCTACATTGTAGCCAGTGGAGGTGCATTACCAGAGACACTAACCAACAGCATTGCTATATAGGAAGCATGGTTTATGGGTCTCCCAGGCTCAAATCCCTGTCTGGCTTCCCCACCCAGCCCTAGTGCTCTCCTTGAAACTTCTCCAGGCCAGGAGATAGGGACAGGTAAGCAATTATGTATGGAGGGAGCATCTGGCCCTGCCCAGGCCCAGAGGCCTAACAGTGACCCACACAAGGCTGAGTGCTCTCCATAAGCTTTCATCAGGCCAGGAAGCAGGGAAAGGTTGGTGAGTATCCCCAGAGAGAGTATCTGATGC